TTTTAATAAAGGTAACTTATTAAATTTTATTTGTTTATTCTATATTTTTATTATGAGGGCAATTTTTTATTGTTAGCTTAGTAATGGATGAAGAATAATGTAAATCTCCTAAGTTGTCGTAACCTATAAGACGTTATTGGAATTACGACCGAAAATATCGATAACAGCGAGGGTACTCAATTGATGAATCGATGTATTCTAACTATTACAACTTCTTGTTTAATTACATTTTACACTTCTACTTACACAGGTATATTTAATTAGTTACATTATATAATGGGTTAATTTATATTTCTTATCTATGTAAGTACCTTTCTCTGATCAGGAATTATTGATAAGCCTACTCAATTGATGAATCGATGCATTCTAACTATTACAACTTCTTGTTTAATTACATTTTACACTTCTACTTACACAGGTATAGTTAATTAGTTACATTATGTATTGGGTTAATTTATATTTCTTATCTATGTAAGTACCTTTCTCTGATCAGGAATTATTGATAAGCCTATCCGGAAGTGTAGTTACTGCAAGTATCATATGATCTAGACAGTGTTCATTGATCCTCATAATGCCCTACACACTGTCACATATTTTATTAAAGTTACTTACCTAGTATTGTTGAAAATATAGGCAATGCTAATTTGCGGGGAAAGCATTATAGGTTTCCCATATTGTTTTGAAGTACCCCGAACCATGCCCAAATTTTTCATGGATAAAATTTCCGCTTCTCAATGTACCTGCAGTGAAATTTTGTTTTTCTAGAACAAATAATGTTTAAGAAGTAATCATTTGAATATTTTATAACCCCCCTGTGCATGTTTTTCATTTAAATTTCAGGAATATGTTAATCAACTGACATGAAAATATAACGTTTTTAACGCATACCGTTGTCTACAAAAGGTTTACTTACGTCCATCAATTAGACAAATTTAAATTATCTACGTACAACTGAAGTAAGTGCTTAAAACAAGTTGTCCTGTCTGTTTAAATAACTTCGGATCAACGACTACGTATAACGTAGTCACATAATAAAAGTGTTTTAGGACTTCCAAAAAAAATTAGTTGAGAAAAGTAACTATGATGTTCCTCTGTCAAATCACCTTATAATGTACAAACTATAAATGTTTTATAGACTAGCTATTCGCCAGTGTTTACAAAGAGTTTTAAAAACAAATTAAGGCAATCTTTAAGTGTCTAACCATTAACTAAATGATGACTATTCTTTTGAAGCCGTTATATTCGGTATACTAAGTCTATTAACGTTATCTTCAAATATTGATTTAATGAACTTTAGCTAAAAAAAAAAATCGCATCTATTCCAAATTAATCCAAGTTTTTTGTTACGTAGATGATTTCTCTTTGACCACAGTTGAAAGTGATAAAAATCAATGATTTTTACTAATAACAAAACATAATAATAATCACTAGCTGTTAGGAAGGTTAATAACTTCAAACTTCCATTTTGAAATTTTGTTATTACGACACTGCAAAGATATTTTGTAGACAGCGATAAAAAATAGCTTGTTTAAAAAGGATTTACCGGGTTCCGTGTGTAGTTTCCCACGGCTTTGAGCATGTAAGTCATCTCAGAACTTTACAGCCAGCGTTATTGACTGGAATTGTAATGGTGCTCGGCTTTTGGGCATATATGACGAAAAGCGTTCGGCCACAGAAACCATGCACGCAAATAATTTCCGGGGATAAATCACATGTTTATATGTAGGCGCCATACTTCAACCCATCGGAGCGAATGTTACTTTACTGTTACATTTGAATTTTATTTTTTAGTTCTCTTCAAAGATGGAAATATATTTTGGTATAAAGTGCATGTGGAAAAAGTGTCACGTTGACGTTTCATGTTACGTATACATATTATTAGATTAAGGATATAAGAAAAAACGGAAGATATTGATTACATTTATGTCAAAAACAATTGTATGCAACTCAATTCTTTATCATGTTTTCTTTTAGGGGGCCCCCAGTGGCATAGCGGCAT